CTTTAGGGGAACATATATATGGTGGAAGACATTTAAGAAGCTGAGTAAATTACCTAGGAACATACCAAAAGAGAAGGAATTAATCCTAAAAACTTGCACTCAAAATCAGAATTATTTCTTTTCTCCTGCATTCGTAGGGTAGAGTGACAGAAACTAATGTAACTAAGTTCTAAAAACAAATGCAAACTAGATGTTATTTTCACTAGTGGTTTTCTTCTCTCTGAAGAGTTGACTGGCATGTCAGAAACCCCACCTGTCTTCTCTGAAGAGACTTCACTGGAAAACTCAGTGAGGTCAAGTTGGACAAGAAAAAAAATTACTCTTGGTCTCTTTTTTTTTTTTTTTTTATTTTATTTTTTTGTCAGACTGCCAGCATGTTAAATTAATGAGTTCAGCAGTCCCTGGTGTTTGATATTTGGTGAACAAACAGCACATACATTGTGACACAAGTAGCCACTAAATTCTGTTACAGAAGCAGAAGTCCTTACTATAAAGAGTTACTGTATTTAGCAAAGATACTTTATTATTTGTTTTCAAATATTTCCATTTTCAGTGTTGTTTCCTTCCTGTTGAGTCATCAGATGGGTCTTAGACATGATTCATGAAACTTGGCATCTATGGCCATTCATCTAGGTGCCACTTTATTTTTTAATAAATGTAATGAGTAAATCTGATTTTCAAAGGGACTCAGTTCTGGGCATGCTGTTAAAATGATGAGTGAAGTGAAGCAGCAGCAAAGTCTGTACCAACATAGTTGTCAATAAGACTATGTAGCAAATGCCATTCAATCCTAGTGTGAAAGTTTGGTATTAGAGAAGCAAGAAAGTGCCAGCTTCTGATGGAGCAAACTGCAGCACCCCGGGCAAGGACACAACCCCTGCTGCCATGCACAGGCACGGAGCAATGCTGTCTGTGGGGACAGAGTTGGGTGGCTATGAAAAGAAGCTCTTCCACAGTCACAGATGGAGGAAGAGACAGAGAGGCTTTTCACTCCTGTCCTTCTTACACCTGTGCACAGACTAGCACAGCAGGTGGTTTGGCTTAGAGGCCAATGCTTTGCAAGCAAGGGGAGACCCAAAAGCAGGCTGTTACTGACAGGGAAAGGAAGATCAGAGAACCATAGAATGCTTTGAATTTGAGGGGACCTCAAAAGGTCATCTAGTCCAACCCACCTGCAGTTAGCAGGGACAACCCCAACTACAGCAGATTGCTCAGAGACCCATCAAGCCCGACCTTGAATGTCTCCAGGGATGGGGCCTTCACCACCTCTCTGAGCAGCCCATTCCAGTGTTCCACCACTCTCATAGTAAAGAGCTTCCTCCTCATGTCTAATCTACATCTACCCTGCTTGAGTTTAAAACCATTGCCCTTCATGTTGTTGCTACATGCCCCTGTAAATAGTCCTTCCCCAGCTTTCCTGTAGGCCCCTTCATGTACTGGAAGGCCACCCTAAGGTCTCCCTGGAGCCTTCTCCAGGCTGAGCAACCCCAGCTCTCTCAGGAGAGTGTCTCCTGCTCTCTGATAATTGTTGTGCCTTTCCTCTGGATCCTTTCTAACAGGTCCATGTCCTTCCTGTGCTGGAGGCTCCAGAGCTGGCCACAGCACTCCAAGTGAGGTCTCACCAGGGCAGAGCAGAGGGGCAGGATCACCTCTCTCCATCTGCTGGCCATGCTGCTTTTGATACAGCTCAGTATGTGATTGATTCCAGCTACACCTGGATCTTGGGCACACACAAGTGAACACACATTGTGGTTTTCCTCAGACTCATTTGGTGATACCAACTGAAGAGATTAGCTTGTCTGTACAGGGTAATTTGAATACTGAAAGTGCCTCATGAGGTGTTTTGATTATGCTGAGACCGAACCAGGTTGCTTGGAGTACATGCTATTACCTTGTCAAGTGACACCTGCAGGAAATCCTTATTTTACAAGTGTCCTAGAAAATCCCCAGAAGTTTCACCGTCCCTCTCTTCAGCCCTGCAGGTGATAACAGTGCAGTATCATTGGATGCTGTGGTGGCATGTGTCTGTACGTGCTCAGAATCTCCCTGAAACCATAAAGCCACGTAACAAGGTTCCCACATAATTTCTGTTGTACATGACTGTGATTATCCTGAGGTTAAGGCAACAGCTGTCCTTTCATTGCCTGTCTATATATTGCTTTGTAACGTGTTTTCTGGTCTTGGAAATTGCTGCCATAGCACTGACTGCACTTGTTGCAATACTTTTGATAGTTGCCTTCAGCTTGCTTCCAGAAGGCAAGGCTAATTGGCTTCCTTTTTTTTTGTTGTTGTTGTTGTTGTTTTATAGCTTTCCTGGAGGCTCCATTTCTCAATCAGGAGGTGGGAAATTATTTGCTTCTCGGGGTTCTGTGATTACAGATCCTTTTTCCTGTCAGAACATAAGATCACAGGCTGAGAAAAAGTTCTGTAAAGTAAAATTGATGTTTCAGTTCCCTACATGCCTAGTCCCGATTCTGAACTGGCCTGTTTTCAGGAGTGGTAACTGAAAGCCTCTTAACAGAGTAAAATGACATTTTTTAGAATCTAAACATAATACATAGTTGAGTTATTGTTCCAGAAATAAGAAGCTTTGCCTTGGTTTGTCTCAGCAGAAACCTGCTTTGAAAAGTGTTCTCCACTGGGGTTGAGAATTGACTCAAAACCTTTGGTTCCACTGCAGCTCAAATGCCACAGCCTGCTATTTCCACCTGCAGTGTAACCAGAGAGAGAATTAGTGGACAGCAAGGTCCTAAAAGTGCAGCACTGTATTTACTCAGGAAACAGAAAAGATCGTATTTTATTGTTTATCTGGAAACTCATACATCATGTAGACACAGACATACCTGCAAGGAAGAACAAAGTCAAGCGTGATCAAATTCCCACATCAAGTGGAAACAAAGAAACTGCGGGTCATGTTTTCACTGTAGTCCATTTTCATCACAACTAAGAACTGAGTTATGGCTACCCATGTAGTTTTTACCTGTGTTACACATTGTGGCCTCACACACCCTACAGATATTTCAAAGTCCCTATTTTTAGCAGGAAGGAGTTATTCAGCTACTAGACACAGGAAGAATCTTCCTCTGTTATGAACTTGAGACAAACAAGATCATACTACTACTACAGTCTACTGAGAAGAGTTTGTTCTAAATTCATGCCTAGAAATTGAATTCTACTATAACACGTGTAGTTCCCCATCCTAATAAGCATTCCCGTATGCTGCTAGCATTAGGTAACCAGGAGCTCGAATGAGTATGTTTGGTTTTTGATTGTACAATAAATACTGAAATACGTTAGTCTGGGTTTTGCTACTGAATATTGCCAGCATATATTCCATGCTTCTTTCCATAAGGAAATGAACATCTACACCTGGTTTAGTGGTGGATGGTACACTAGAATTACAGCATTTTTTCTGAAGCTGGAGTGGTTTAATGGGGCAGGGGGTTGGAAAGAGGAGGCTGTCCTTTGTGAGAGAAAAGGTGACAAATGTGGGACAGATTCCTCAGCCAAACTGCCTTTTTAGATTGTGGGATACAGACAAAACCAAATGAGTACTGAGTTCTTCCTGGCTGAAGTCAGTGTCTGTCTCAGAGTCATTTTCTTCCTGGGAGCCTAGTCTCAGTAAAAAGTCTGCGTGAAGCTGTGGTTGTGTGGTTTCCTCCTCTCTGCAGAAGAAAAGTCTACATGACACTTTTCTCTCAGTAAAATATTTAGACTGTGATGGTTTACAACGTGTCTGTTGAAAATAGGTCAAGTTTGGTATTTGAATGCCCTGGAAAAATGGGCAATGTGTTTGCTGTATGCATCAATATCTGTTCTATTTAAAAGGACATTTTCAAATCTCAACAGTGGCAAACCTGACTTTGGAGTTGAAAATTTAATGGTTGTTAGTGGTGCCAAAGAGGATAATTAGAGGATGTTTTCTGCATTTGAACTAGCCTTCAAAGAGAGACTTTCATGACAGTATTTTTCTGGCAAATGAGAACACATTTGTGCAGTAAAAAGTTCTCTAAGAAGCAGGTTTAAAGAATTTAGCTAGAATAAGCTTACTCTTGATATATTTGTGTATTATTTTTGAAAACAGTATAGAAGTAAGAGCAGCGGCAGTGAAGTTTCTAACCTGTTCAGAGAGTTAAGCATCTAAGTCTAACATAGCTACCCTAAACTGTATCTAATCCGCAGAGAAATAGGCACTTCTGGGAGACAGGATGTCAAATTTCAAGTTGGGTCGCATAAATTGTAGTCAGGAAACATCCATTTAATTCATTCTGCCATCTTAACTAGCTCTGCTTTCGCCATACAATTGGTTTTTCTTTTCCTGTTTGCTTGCAATAGATTTTTTTAAAAAAAATGCTTGCTTATGCAAAAATGGAAAAACCGTTTCCCTTGTAATTGGGCGTTGTTTGGCAACCAGAGATCATAGAATGTTTAAGCAGAAAACCAGTCCCCTCTGTGGATGGACCTGTACAGTGGCATGGCCGAGTAAGAAGCAGCATCTGAGGAAAGAGGTCAAGCAAAGGTCATACAGTGGCCATCTTCCACATAAGTCATGAGAGTAAGACTCAAGAGTAATTAAGGAATTATGTGTGATGACAGAGGGTGAATTTAACAAATAATTGTATTTTCAAGTATGGCTTTTGGAGGAAATTAGTTACAACTAATTTTTTAGTTTTGCAGTGAATTTGCGCTCCCAACTTTTCTCAGTGCAAATTTTCAGCTTTTTCAATCTTACTTTTTCCCATGATAGAAGCATAATGACTGTTCAGACTGATCCTACAAGCTGGAAAAAGTGTATCTGCCAGAGCCGTGTAGACACTATTTACTCCTCTCTTCTCAGGTGGAGGACATTTGTGACAGCGAAAAAGATCCACCAATATCCTCAGTGATGCTATTATCAATCAATATGATTAACAAAATCAGTTGGTAGACCAAGTGATCTCTTGATCACTACACCAGTGAAAAGGGATGTGAATAATCTTTTTCCTCTCTCCCAATTTTAGCGCAGAACATCACAGTGGTTTCAGAGAAACGGACCTATGAATATCAACCACTATGCCAATAAGAAGAGTGCTGCAGAGAGCATGCTGGACATTGCCCTGCTGATGGCCAATGCATCCCAGCTAAAGGCCGTGATGGAGCAAGGACCTTCTTTTTCCTTCTACATCCCACTTATCATTCTTATCAGCCTGTCTCTCACACTGCAAGTTATGGTGGGAGTGCTTCTGATATTCCTTGGTATGTAGCAACAGCAGGAAACATTGACATGTATTTTTCTTATAGGATGCAACCTCCAAGATGGTATATAAGATGGCATATTTACTTTTAAAAAGCTGTTATATTTGGAAGTCTTTACCTCAGAACTGGTTAAAGTTCTCTCTTAAGACCACAAAACTATTACAACACAAGGAGTAACATCAGCTTTATGTGGGATCTTCAATTTTGATCAACTTCCTCATACTCATTTGCCCAGAGTATGAATATTTTTCTTTTCAGAAGGCCTGGGGAGGAAGGAAAATGATGAAGTAATGTAAACGAAACATTAATAGGGCATATAGGATCATGGAGCCTGCCCAGTTTCATAATACTGTTTCTGGCAAGACCTGTTATGTAATCTTATGTCTGAAATGTATTTTAGTCATATTATAAGTAATGCTATAAGAATATATTGTGAACATAGAACTCTGAAACAAAAGTGAGGGTTGAAATGTCCATCTTCATGTTCCTGTGGCACGTTGTCTTTAGTTTGTTTGTGTTTCTACAATCACATCGATGGTTTGATAGCAAAGACTTGAAAATAATGAAACAAAACCCTTATCTGAAAATTTAGGAAGTAATTCAAAGCATCCTGAATCTCTAGGTGGGAAATGGTAGAAATGTACATGTTGTTGCTAATTTTCAAACCTGTGTTAAACTGAAATTAAGGTTAAAAAGAAAAACAGGCTTCTTAGAGCAAGATTTCACCATAAGGATATAACCTCATCTATTATCCACATAAATATGACTTCAGTAAAAAAAATTGAATTGACCTATAATATGAAAACACAGACCGAGTATCATGTTGGGACTACAAATATATTGTCTTGAATTCTGCTTATTGCTAATGAAACCTTTTCTACTTTCTCCCAAGGAAATGTGATGCAATACCTTTATCATATGCTAGAAATAATTTCAAGAGACTAAGTTCAAACAGTTGTGTCTGTGTGTGGGACAGATTTCATGAGTCCCCGGCTCCCTGCTTTCCCTTCACTCTCCTTTCTGTCTCACTTGTTGAATTACGGACCTTCCCGTTCCTAGAAGTTCAATGCAGTGTCCTTGCTGTGCTCAGAAATAGAGGTTCCATTATTCAGTATCAATAGGTACAATGCTGTGAGGCACAAGAACCAGTATATATCACTAAAAATTAAGTATTTTAAGTTAGAATTGCTAGATTAGTAGCACATGTAAGGCAGAATATTGATCTAAGTAGCTATGAAACCCGGCTCATTTCTAAAATAATATAATATCATCACTACATGAGCATGAATGACCAAAAAAAGCCTAACTAAAACTCCACAGAGAGTGGAGAGACAGCACTCTCCTGGAAATGTGATTTTTCTGTTTCAACCTTAAACAAGTCTTCAGTACTTCTCTTTATCATCTTCACATACTGTGATATTTTCACCCATGCTTTGGCTCTTTGCAAAGTTGTTGAAAGCCTGCAACAGTCGTTCGTGGCACTCAAAACCCTAGACCATAACTTTGGAGAGTCATTCAAATATACCTGTGGAACTCAGAGGAAATGTTTAGGTCTCAACACCAGTTGAATCCCATTATTCGTGGAAACAAATGATGCCTTCACTGGTAAGAAACAGCCACAAATCACTTCTTTTTTTAGTGCTATATGATTATTTATTCTCACAACTTTTTTTCAAAATTCTCCCTTTAAATTAATGGGTACTATATGACAGATCTTGTCTCTCATAAATTAAAAGCATTGAAGGTAGTAGCCAGAGTTTACATGCATCATTTACTGTTATAGGTGCCACTTTTGGCATCTCTGTTAGTCTTTCAATTTTTTATCACAACTGAAAAAACAACTTTCTGTTCAAGGAGGAAGTTCTCAGAAACCAGGATACATAAGGCTTGTGATACTGATAAGCAGTTTTGTCTTGGTTGTGAAAGAGACAGAATAATGCTGCGTCTGCTTTTTGGTAAAGTTAATAAAAGAGCAAAATTCAGGTCCTGTCTCAAAGGAGATTCCAGAAAGAGCCTGGAAAAAGCAACTTGATGATACTGGGGGATGTGGGAAGAGAATCATGGAAGAAACAGCAAAACACTTCTATGTCTCTTGGTTGAAGGCATCTCCCTGGTGGTTGTTTCAGTTCTTAGCAGGCTTTGAGGCTCCTGCTCTCTGTTGGGCAATTTCTTAGTATATGCTGAGATGTTGCTTTTTAATGTTTGTTTCTGCAAGACATTACCGAAGTGGCTTCTGTCTCTGTAATTTTTATCTTTGTCACGTTGAGAGTAAAGAGAGTACCCAGCAGCCCCAACCCTGAAGTTGGGCAGAGGTACAGTTCACAGAGTCTTTGAAGTAGAGTCCCCTTAGCAAATAGTGAGAGTCAGGGGTTCAGCCTGTGCTCCGCAGTCAGCAGTGGGTGTGTGCTTGGCGCACCAAAGGTGATGAAGTCCTCAGCTTATAGTGGTATGCTGTTGTAACAATGAAATCATGCTGAGGACAAAAGTACTGAAGATAGGAAACGGGACATGAAGGTATAAAGATACAAGCAAGCATCATAGCAAGAATTTGCTTTTCACAATGTCTGTTTGGTAGTTTTGGTCTGCAGGAGCAGTTTGCTTTTCTGTCCAGCCACGAAATTCTGCCTTTTACAAGCTCTCACAAATTAAAAAAAAAAAGTATGTGCAACCATCTGTTTTCTTTCCTTGAGACAAAGTTTTATCCCAGCAGCTACCAGTTCTCACAATTCTCTTCTAGGGATTAAAAGCTTTTCCTCCTTCAAAAGAGCCTCTCACAAAAACATTTTGAAAAATCTTTGGCAAACTTGTCCTTGAAAGTGATTTGGTAACCTCAACTTTTTGGATGAAAAACAAAGAATGTCTTGAAACAGTTTAAGTGGCAGGAAGTCATAGTGATCTTATCCCACTATGGTGAAATGCTTAAAGAATAACTGTTCTTAAGAATATTTTCACAAACACCCTCATCTTAAGTACTATAATCACAAAGCTAGGATTACTGCAATTCTATTTAAAAATTTAGAGCACTGCCTAAACTGACAATAAATACTTGCCTTCTCTGACCCTTTCTTGGACAAAAGGACAGCTCTGAAAGTGTCAGTTCTCCTCTGAGCATGATTTCTTTTAACTAGCAAAGCACATTAGGCCATTATTGCCTTTTCTTTCTTAAACCGACCATATGAAATGCTTTTCTTCCATACTCCAGGATTGATTACTTCATTCACATGACAGTACTAGAGCCTTTCCAGGTACTGTTAGGATGGAAGCCTCCATGTAGCTCCTGATGCTTTACAGACATGTATAAACCCTTTTTCAGGGTTAAGCTCTACTGAGCTTCCTGCCTACACAGGTGAGCAGTAGCTTAAGCTTTTCAGATAATTTCCACACGCTGTTCTTCAGTGCTTTGACTGGCCTGTGATGTTTGACGGTACTGCTTTAACAAACAGGACTTGAACAGGTACCCAGAATTCCTTGAAACCAAAACAGCATTAGACTTCCTAATTAGGGACACCAAGTGAACCTGGCTTTTAATTCTTCAAGCATCATGAGTGTGTTTGCCCTGTCTTTTACTTAACTGCTTCAACAAATAAGCGAGTCTTGGTTCTGTGGTTAAGTTCTGCAGCATTGACAGAGACACTATGTTAAAAGCCAATAGTGAAGTTTATCTCATGCAATAGAGTCTTAAGCTACGTGTCTACGTATGTGCCTGTCAGAAGGAGCTCTAACTTTTATTTATATTGCTGTAAAAACTTATCAGGTATAAACTTACTCTCACATGTCCTGTATGTGCACACACAAGCTCCAGAGATCTTTATATTTAAGAACTAGGAGTCTTGACAGACAAAACACATTCTCAAAACATGTTCCAGAATTCATCAACAGTCATTCCGCCAGCATCAAAGAAAGGTAGCAGAGGGGCTGAGTTGCAGAGCCTAGACTGCAGGAGAGCAGAGACTGAGGAGAATCATGGGTTTCCACATGATGCCAGAGAAGTGCCCCCAGACTTCTCACTGCCCTGGACAAGAACATGCTTTATTCTGTCAAATCTGTTATCACTCCAGTGTAACTCATTTATGTGTTTTCACAAGGACTGGAATCAAAGCTTAAACTAAATTAATATTATCTCCCTTGTGTGTTCCTCCCTCACTCCCATTAGCAGTTCAAACAAAGAACAACTGCAAGAAACAAAAGAAAATGTTTACACAGCTGATGCTCTCTGTAAAAAGAGCTGCAGCTACACTGCTTTGAAATCTTCCTCTGTTTAACAGATATGATGCCCTTGCTTTCTAAAATCAGAACCAGTGCAAAAGCAGGGAATACAGCTGAGCAAAAAACCTCCAGCACTGCTAAAGAGATTTGGCTGTCTGTGAAGAACTGCAGGAAGTTTAACTTCATTCCATCCTGTCAGGGCTTCAAGCTTCATATATTCAAGACTGGAATAATTGTAAAATGCTTAAAATCTGCAACAAAACTAGATTTCAAAAGATCAAGACATCAGAAGATCTCTAGTAATGTTTGTGTATGCATTACTTCCCATGTGCATCCACAGAGATTAGATGCTAATTACTGGAAGCTAATAGGCTCTTTGTGACTACAGATCTTCTCCTTAGGACTTTTACTGACACTGCAGTATATTACTTCCCTTTCAAGTATGACTGATGCAAATAGCTCAGTGTAAGAGAAATTCTTGAGCTACATCAGCAGTGAAGACTTTTTCTTCTCGATTTTGAAATATACATCTAATTGGATCGTTTTTCCCCTTCTTTCTCTTTGAAGTAAAATATGACCTTAACAACCCTGCGAAACATGGAAAGCTGGATTTCCTCAACAACCTTACAACTGGACTAGTGTTCATTATAGTAGTTGTGAATATTTTTATCACTGCCTTCGGAGTGCAGAAGCCAGTTGCTGAATCAGCATCAAGACAGTAAGTGTAAGGTGAGTGTTGCCTCTTTGTACAATAAGGTAGTAGGGCACAGCATACACGAATGCAGTGCACACCAGGGCATAGCTTTAAAAATAGCCGTGACCTTATCTACATAGTTCTAGTGTAGATAAATGAGTTTACTTCATACTACTGCAAAAGTAGAAGCTACTAGGAGCTGCTAAGTTATTGCAGTGTATTTGTAAATGTAGAGTTCAAAAGTTGATGGCAGCATCTTACTGTGTCAGGCCCCCCCTTGTACGTGTCATGCATAGGATGTGTAAAGATAGCCCTTCTGGCTTAGCCACTCCTTTTCCTTATTGCTGACTAAGCCAAGAAGGGAAATAACACTTTTGCTTCCTCCAAATGCCTTTTTTTTTTTCTTTTTTAAGAAAAATTTGCTGTATACTGTATCCAGTCTGTTACAAACACTGAAAAGAAAAACACTATTAAGTCCAACATATAATACTACACATCACTGGAGCCCTTCAGTTCCTATGCAGATGGTGTGTCTTTTGTGTCCTCCCAAGCTGCAGAGCTTTTGCTTTGTGGGAGACTCAGCTGCCAAAGACATGCCCTACCACTTTACTTGATACATGAGTTGATTTTGAACAATATTGTGTGCTCTACCTGCATTTTAAAGGTCGTTATTTACTTATACAGAAAGATAAATATAGGAATTGTGGGAATCAAAAAGGGTGTCTTCCTAGCGTCATAGCTGCAATGAAAATCTGGGAGGAGATAAACCTAAATTGTAGGCTTGTAGCCCAAGAAGCACTGTAGTCCAGCATATGCCTTTAAAATAGCACTGCTAAGTCTGTGTGTGAAAACACTGCTCTGGCTCATTATCTTCCAAATATCAAATCACGTTCAGAAGACCTGTGGAAGAAGAAATTACTTGACTTCCCTGGCAAACCATGGTACACTGGCTAATATGCAGACAGCCCATACATGTAACATGAGCAGTTTGGGTTAACTTCCAGATTAAACCCTTTCTCCCTCTCTTCTCTCAAAAATAAGATCCTGCCTTCATGCATCTAACACATGCAGTTTCCTAATAAAATGGTCAAATGTGGTGCCTGGGAACTGTGCCTTTTTGCACAACATGGAACAACATTTGCTAAACATGGAAGTTCTTAGTTGCTTTGAAACAGTACATCTGTTGTTTTCTTATTTGTACATATTGTCCTTGCTAAAAACACCTGGTCATCTGACTGTAACTTGACAAATGAGTCTTTTTCAACCTGCTGTCATGTCTCCTCAAAGCCCTAAAAGAAGTGAGTGGGCACCATTTTCTGACTGCATCTTTACTGCTATGCTCTCTTTTCCAAAGAAAACTTAATTCTGTCTTTAAGGCAAATTTGTCATTCACTGTAATCCCTGTATCAGTAACATCCCAATATTTTTGGTTTTGTTGTATTTCAGAAACCTGAAGCAGACTGTCATTCTAGATGCCATGTGCACTTGAGCCAGTTACACCTGGACACAGTGGGGAAGAAACATAATCTGAAGAAGTTGGACATACCGAGCAGCTTTATCAGGATTCCAGCAACCAACATTTATTATTTGTGTAGCTAATGTGTTTCAAAAGTGTTACTACTTACACTGTTTGGCATCTAAGGAAGGGCTGATTTTGACCCAAGGACATTGTTTTTCTGGAATATTAGTATTTCAATTTCTATAGAAACTAATTGTTTTTTAGAGAAGTGGCATAAGCTCGTGAAACAATAATATCACTGGTGGCATTTCACAGGACTTCCCATTTTCAAAGCGTTTTGTTTTTGTGGCAATTTGTCATTTCCACCGTGATAAGAAATGGCAGGCCTTTGGTTCTGGTGTGATCGCCTTGGCCTTTATTTTACTGGCATCAAACCTATGTGCATGAAGATAGCTCTGCCTTGGTTCCTTTTTTTCTACTCTAGCTAAAGCAAAGGTGAGACAGAAAGAGCAGACTATCTTTTGTCCACTTTTACTCACAGGTACTCATTTGTCCTGTTTCTTATTTCTGTACCACACTTAAAATTTCCTTTCCTTTGTGCACAGACACACAAATAACCCAACTGCTAATAGGGTTTTTTTACTATTAACTGCTATACCCTGTCTCCTGTGCCTTATGTATTTCTGGAAGTCCTGTTAGAAGAGCTACCCTTTCTGGGTGCAACTGGAAATCTAGAGGATACAGGACGACTTCTACCTGCTAAGCTGGTACTAAGCATCTGTCAGCAATTCAAGAAGCAAATGGAAAGAAGCTTATCCCTCTATAACTTACTTTTCCCAAGATTGATTCCTGCAGTTGTGTTACTCATGAGTTTATGGCTAAAAGCAAAACTAATTTTTTAATGTTTATTTTTAAATAGATACATAGATATATATAAATATCTTCTAGGTTCTTACCTGCTGGCTCAGGAACTGACACCTTTTCTAAATACACTTGTTATTAATGATGTAGCTTATAAAAATTTCTACAACAAAAACATTTTAGTCATCTTATTTCCAAAGTAGCACATCTGTAATAACCTAATTTTTTAGCTTGTGCGGTTTTGTACTCATACATTTCTTTATCGTTAATTTTTAAATGCTCCCTTGCATCTATTAATAGAATTGATATTAATTGACTTCTATGTGTCTGATCTCATGTAAAATTTTTAATGATCATGTTTCTCTTTGGTTGTGTCTCAATGCCCATTGATTTACAATATCTTCATTTACATGTTCTGTAAAAAATTACTAACAGAAATTTGTGCGATTAGTAATGAAAAAGACAGGGGTTTTTTTGTTTTGTTTTGTTTTGTTTTAATCTTTGTTTTGTTGCTTCATTTCCGACTTGACATGTATTTAACCAGTATATAGCAAGCGATGGGTTTAATTGTGTGTGCTGTACTAATTTAAACATATCTCAGAACAAGTGCTGAATGAGGTATTCAGGAAAATTTTCCTTATTTAATATTTTTAACAAACAGCCGAACTGTTGAAGGACTGTTCCTACATACTTCTATCGCAGTTTCAATGTTGTCATGTAGTAAATTGACCATCCAAATAGCAGTGCTGAAATACCTCAAAAATCTTTCTTTTGGAGGAAATGGGTGACTGTAGGCAGAGCCCTTTCAAACAGGAAATTTAGCTGTGGCTTGACACTGGGCAGTAATTCAGACAAGATACTTGAATGTACCACCTTTGTTACCTTTCACCTTTCTACTTGCTGGAGTATTTGCCTATCTGTGCATCCTAGTCTGGAGAGTCTCTCAGGAGGCAGCTACCTCTCTTCTGTATAGGAAACTTTGTACCTTAGCTAAGTGTCTGAACTAGTTACTTTGTGTTGTAAAAATGACCAAAAAAACCCCATTGTGTTTTACTTGTCCAAAAGGTATGAATATTAGATATTCTTCACTGACAGATTTGCAACTTTCTAGCTTTTTAAGCGAGCCATAACAACAGGAAGAAATGTATTTCTGGCACCTAGCTGATCCTCTCACTTTTTGACTTGTCTTTAGTACCCTGAAGGCCGATGCAAACAGACACCCAGGCTCTACTGATGTTGATCAACTTTATACTTGCTGGTGAGGTGGCCCAATTTCAAATGTAGCTTTAGAGTCCTGTGCTGCTTATTGCCACAGCCCCCTCTTATGAGCATGATCATGTTTGTCTTGCACTGAAAGTCTTGGAAGCAGTTGGAGGGTGGTACAGTACAGACATACCAGGTCTTTGCCCACTTTATTCCCCTCTTCACTGAATGTTAGTTTTTCAGGTCATTCAAGCAAACAAGCTTTCACCGTAGGTTTCTACTGAAAAAGATAATAGCTGTTTCTATAGCATCTTTCCTGCTAAGTTGTTGTCCAACAAAATCTACCAAGGCTTGATTATCCCATCTCGCAGTGGCTTGTGGAACTAACTGGATCCAGAGCAGCAGGGTAAGGAACACTCACCAGGTGTTCTGCCAATGACCAGGCCCAACAAGAATGATACAGCCAGCAGAAAGAGAAACCAATACACAGACTGTATTGTAATCAGAAACATTGTGACATGAATGACTGCCAGGGGTACAAACAAGTCAATCAGCTGGTACATAAATGACACCACCCCAACAATCCCACAAAAGATGCGACTCGGCCCACAACAGGTGCTACAAACAGTGAACCAAGATTTCCCATAGTTGGCATGGGAAACAGCCAAACCAGTAAGTTAAATACATAAGAGAAAGGTGCCCACATGGCAACTCTCCTGACTCCCTGCAAGAGGTCCCAGCCTTTATCCCCAAGCAGGGACACCTGACCATTGTCAACTCAATGCGGGACCCCTGGGGCTCATTTCCCTTATGGCTCTCCCTGCAGGGCCGGCCGCACCCTGGGGGGAAGCTATAAATGAAGGGCTGTGGGAATCACCCATATGTCAACCTTAATTCGGGGCTCAGGGTTCAAACCCCAGCATTTCACCAGGCTATTGATGACTTTTCAACTACAGATTCAAATGAACTTCGCAAGAGACAGGTTTTGGAACATACAGGAGGGAAACAAAAAAAAATACTTCAAGCTTTAACACGTTGTTGAGTGCCGAGAGCTGCATGTGGAGATCTGCATTAAGGGGGTAGGTGTCTGTTCACGCTAAGTTTGCCAGAGCCAGGCTGAGAACAAGAAAAAAAAAACAAAAACAAAAAACCCATGAGTCCTTACATCTCCTGACCTCCTGAAAGTGTGACTGAAGCATCACAACAGAGAAACTGGCAACTTCAGAGAGCCTGGTCTCTTGGTTCTCACCACACAAAAAACTGATCTGAAAGCCATCCATCTGACTACAAGACTGCACTGGCATCAGCAGTATTCAACTTGCAACTGGATGTGTTTTTTAAATAAAAAGGATGCTTGGTTTATTATCGTGTCTTTTATTGTGGTTAAGTAAGATTTGCAAAACATCCTCAAACACACAAACTATGTTTTAAATCTCTGAAGCCTTCAAACATCATGCATTTTTAATGCCTGCAAGTTGGTTTGAAAATAAATTATTTAATCACAT